AATTTTATATAGTAAAAGCCTTTGGTATGGAATCGCACTCAAAATTAATGTAAAAAAACATATATATATTATGGCTTTTCAAATAAACAAATAAAATAGTTTAACAGTTTTGTATCTAATAGACAAAAAGTAGTTTTAGACCTGCATATATGAGAGTGGAGAGAAGTTTTAGGCGGAGCTTATCAAAGTTTAGTTTTAAGTCCAATTTTTTTTAAATAAGTAAATAAAAATTTTGATATATATATAGATTAAAACTTCCATTAAAATTATACACCAGTAATTGTAAATTAATTACTTCATTTTACTACGACTCAGAGGGATCAAAGCTTTAAAGTAACATTTTATCTACGCAACAACGGCAGATATATGGTGTGCATAAGCAATTAAAAAAAAAAAAGTCAACTTATGCATTTCGGGAAAAAAATTCAATTATTTAATGAAAAATGTGACTAATAACAATAAACACAAAGAAAAATCAAACTAGAAAGATATCTGGGTATTCTTATAACAAATAAGCTAAAAACGTAATATAAATGTACTGAATAGTATATGGTTACGACCAAATTTTTTTCAAAAATCAATAGTTTTTAGCATTTATAGAGTATGATTCACAGGAGAAAGTTAACTCCAATACAAGTATACTCCAAAATGTACTTCAACTATAGCTTATTTATAAATAAAGTCTGTAACATTTAAAATATTTTGAGTTACGAAACTGTTAATGCGAAAACGACAACTCTTTTGAAAACAATATTGATAAAAATGGGTATTGTAGTTTAACCTCCTCCGGCTAATTGCCATATAGAGGGCTTATATTGATTAAAGTTAATTTATTATAAAGATCTGTATTGATAAACTTTATTAGGCGTTGAAGTTATTGATAAAGGTTAAAAGTAATATAAAGTAATTAACTGCATTGCAATTTTATACCACGGTTTTTCTTTTACACTACGGTTTTGCTTATGATTTTTTATGCTCAGGCGCGGACTGGCCAACCAGGAATACGGGAAATTTCCCGGTGCGCCCCACTATCCTTGGCGCCCCCCACCTCCACTGCCAAATCATAAGTTTTATATCTCCATAATACCACATGTTACATATAATTGATAACTATAAAACCATTTAGTAAACAAGGATTTCTCATGGAATAGTCAATGTGTGAGGCTAAAATTTTGCAAAAAAGGTTAACAACATGTTGATTGAGGGATTGACCAGAATCATCATTAGAACTTTTACAGAATCAAAATGGCTATACTTTAAACATTAATTTTTAATTTTTATCTAAAATTTGTGCTGTTAATGTTAATATCTCGACAACAGCTAACTATAAGAAATTTTTGTTCAAAGTTTAAAAATTTGTTAACAGAAAAGACCCAAGAAAAAAAAATAAAACAACTTTAACAATATATATCTTTAAAAATTTCCAGACACATAGGAGTCATCCTTGCTAAACCTTTTCTTATACCTCTCAAGTTTTTCCTCCTTGATTTTGTTACTTCTTTTTCCTTCCTTTCCATATGAATGATATGATTGTTATCCTTTTTAATTGCACTGAGAAGGAAATATTTTCCACAATAAAATCTAAGTTAAAATGTTTCGTTGTTCGAAACGTAACATCCATTAAAAGATATAACTGCTGAGAAAGCAGCTAACTCTAAAACACTTTTTAAAACAAAATGTGTTTTGATTAAAAGTTTATTTGGATTTTGGGTATAGCTGTGTAAACACTTTGACAAAAGATTGTCAGACAAACAATGATGTAAAAAATTGTTCTGACTTTTGTCGAGCAAAAGGTAAGTTTATTACTCTGAAATGCCTTTTTTTCTAAAACGACTCCCCTGAAAATTGCGGTACGGGCCTGCCTTGAGAATCCGAGTTAACGGGATTTTACTGAGTATATAGTCATTAAATGTATCTATGTTACTACAGTGATTGCATTGTAGATTGTGCAGGTTGCATGGAAACTTTGTCCAAAACTTCCCAGCAAGCGAACTCTTCAGTGTCTAATCAACATTTTTTTATTTTTATTGTTGTTTAGGTGCCCCAAGAAGACCTATCGGTCTTGCCACAGAACACCGTGGAAGTGCATTTAACCAGAAAGTTTACGCCTCCTTCCTTACCGTGACGCGAAAATTTATCCAAGGCTCGTTTCGAACCTGGATCTCCTGCTTTACGTTTCTTTTAGTAATCATATAGAAAAAGCTATTCAGGCAAGTCAAAAAAAGAAAGATTGTCAAAGACTACAGTTAACAATATTCTAACTGCTATTTCAAACTTGATGAAAAATTATATAATCAAGGAAGTTGGTGATCAGAAATTCAGTGTTCAAATGGATGGTAATCAAGATACGTCGGTGATTGATCAGGAGGCAATAATCTTACGATATGTACTTGGAGAAGACGTGAATGAGCGATTATTTGCGGTAAAAAAAAATTACTGATGCAAAAAGTACAGGACTATACCAACTATTGAAATCAGAGTTTGAACATAATGGTTTAAAAATGGAAAAAATTGTGGCTGAAACTTTTGATGGAGCAGCAAACATTCGTGGTAAATATCATGGAGTTCAACGTTACATTAACGACGTTTCACCAAATGCTGTATACATGTGGTGTTACGAGCACGTTTTAAATTTGTCCGCAACAGATATTGTGGAAAATATATTAGCTGTCCAAAATTTAAATGGTTTCTTGCAAAGTACAGCAACTTAATTTGGCGATTCTTGCAAACGAATGAACGTTTGGATGGATATTCACATTGGACAAGGAGTTGGATCTGCCAAACTGAAAAGACTGCAAAAAATTGGTGAAACGCGTTGGTGGTCGAAGCAGATGGCGCTTGAACCAATTTTTGGAACTTATGATGCTCCACAAGTGGAATTGTTCTATGCTCTTTTTCAAGTTTTTAATTGTATTAGGATTTCTTCAAGATTCAATGCAAAATCAACATTCGAAGCCACAGCACTGGATGACAAATGGTGTCAATTCAATGTGCTTCTTGCAGCCTTTCTTCTTCTACGTGAGTACCGTTTCGCGAGAAGCATCCGAATATTTGCAAACAAGAGGTTTGGATTATTTAAGTGCTTAGAATATGGTAGAATCAGCAAAACAAGAATTGCAGACAATATCGTTTGAAGATGTCCATTTCAAGGCAATTGCATTTGTTAAAGAAAAACACCCTCCTAAATGCTAGTGAACTTGATTCAAAAGTTGAAATAGAATTGCGTGTAGAACAAGTTCATCGAATGAAACGTCTGGCAGGGAAACTCGCCTTTGATGACATGCTAGAGAATCCTCTTGATTGTTTCAGAATGGATGTTTTCCGTAAAGTATTTGATCAGATTACCACTAGCATAGATGAACGTTTCTCAGTTAACAGGGCATCATTAGAGACACTACGTGTTTAGATCCCAGACGTTTTAAAGAAATTGTTGAAAATGGTATTCTAGAAAACAGTCTTGCAAAAATTTCTCAATTAACTAATCTTTGTTCTGAAAGATTGAGATCTGAATTGCATAGTTTTGCTATAAACTTTGATAGGCTCTCAAAAACACTACGAAATGAATTTATAGTGAGTCCTAGTGACGAAGATTGAGAAGAATCGAATTCAGTCTCAGAGCTGGATACTTCAACAAAAGCAACTGAAAATGAGAATGATAGAGATTTTTAGAACTTTGAGGGTTGTGTAGGGTCTTGTAAAAAATGTTTAAAATATTGCTATAATATTTTATACAAATATTCGTTGAATGCAACTGTTTATTCAAATTTGTTTCTGGCTTTCGAATATCTATTAACACTTTCATTTTCACAAGTGAGCTGTGAACGGGCATTTAGTAAATTAAAAATTGTCAAAACTAGGCTGCGTTTCTCATTATGTAACGACAAGCTTGAAACATTTATGTTGATATCAACCGAGAAGAACATTTTGGATTCAATTGCAGTTGAGGACGAAATTGGCTACTTGTGTAAGGATTCCGTAGAGTTATCAAGATGTTGCTTCTATAAATTACATTAGGAGATCGTAGTCAGTTACAGTATAAACAACAGATAAACCACAGGGCCCATTTTGATTTTTATCTTAAATGATTTAAAAAGAGGTTTATTATTCATTTATCATAATAAATTCATCGTGCTATTATTGTTGTTGTTATTATTATTATTATGATTGTCTACATAATTATCATGTATATTTCATTTAAAAGTTAAATGACATATTGAATTATATTGTAAACCTGAATGAACTTTGAACTTTAAAAGTGTAACATTATTTTACCTATTCATATTCAAATTAAAAAGACCTTTATATAAACACTAGCCTATTTTCTACTCCTATTCCGACCTTGTAGCGCCCATCCCTCTTCCCTTCCCGGTAGGATTTGAAGCCCCAGTTCGCGCCTGTTTATGCTTATAATTATTACCACCTTAATAAATAAGATTTAAAAAAAAGAATAAATTTAATGCGAATGCAAATAAATACACTTAAAGTTTAATACACACTTTAAAAGTTGCATTCTAGATGTAATAACACCTATGGAATTTTACTTTTTGTTGGGAATTGTGAATGATCTATCTTGGTTTGAAATATTCTGCTGTTCTCCATTTTGGACCCGGGCGCCATTGGCGCTTTAGAAGACCCTGATGTATACTATATATCTTATAAAATTTTACAAAATGGCAAAACAGACTTGGTTTTTAAAGTTTTAAAGTACAACAATTAATAACGTGCATAATTTATAATATTTTCATAATTTATAATACAGCATTTACAATTTTAGGAATTTACATTCACACATTAAACAAAAACTTGAAAATATTTCGCCAAAAAATAAACTTACTGTTTAACAGTAATCCAGAAAAATTAGTTGTAATTAAGTGTGTTTATCATTGTAATTAAGCGGGTTTATCGTTGTAATTAAGCGCGTTTATCGTATTGAAGCTTCATGTTATTCGTTATTGTATCAAAATATTTAATTAAATAATTACTGTACTGAAAATTTCGAATAATTTTCAAAAAATTTCCATTTATGTACATTAAAATTACATTATAATAAAAAAAACAATATCTGCTTTTAAGAGAAGCCAAATACGACATGTTTAACGACGCTATAACACAGGCCAAAACCAAAATAAAACTTTTAATTTCAAATTATAATTAAATTTTTTGTTACTGGTAACATTGAAAGTTGATTGTTGTCAAATTTTCTCTGAGCAATTTTTTAAAGTTAGATAATATTGTACATTATAGTAATTAACTGTAAATAGTTTATATTTAGCAGTCAGAAAAGAAAAGACGAAAATATCAAAATTTAAACTGTTAACGTCAAAACAGCAAGTTTTAGCATAAAACCATTAAACGTTCAATCGCTAACTTCGTTAAATATATTTTCTTTTAAAATATTTTTAAAAATGTTTATCAAATAATTTTACAATGTACAGAAACGATTTTCCACTGTCATAACGAACTTGATTCTGGTGTATAGTGTTAATGAATCATGAATTAGCACAATTTGATCCTGCAGGTTCAAAGTAGCTTTTAATAATATTTTTCAATGATCGATTAGGAACAAGCAACCTGTTAGCCAATGGAGCATTTGTCATAGGACTGGTTTCATTCCCTGCGTCCAACCACATAGATATGAATGCTCTCTCATAAGTATAACCGTCTTAAATTTTGATTAAAAAAGAATCAGTTAATACACACAAAGTAGTGATAAATATATAATATAAAAATAATTTTACAAAAGCGCAGATATATATATATATATATATATATATATATATATATATATATATATATATATATATATATATATATATATATATATATATATATATATATATATATATATATATATATATATTGAATTTTACTGATCTAGCACATCAAAATAGGAGAAAACCGTTTTAGTTATGCATTATTAAGCAACTTTTAAATCAAATTATTTAAAAGTTACTTAAAATCATTTAAAAACAGACAAAAAATAGTTCATATGAGTTAAAAAATACTACATTAGAAAATTTCATAGAATCATCATTTTTATTTAAAAAGTTATGGTCTGTTGAATTAGCAAAAAAAAATTTTCCAAACGGATATTATAGCTTCACAAATTCTACAATCGCAATTCGCAAAGGGATAGATATATAAACATCTACAATTATTAAACAAATTCTTAGTCAAATAAATTAAAAGGCCATAAAGAGGAGAAAAATTATTCAATATTCTATTATAAAAATAACGAAGAAATAAAATAAGAAGAATATAGTTATTTCAATAAATTAAAAATAACCCTCGTTGCTTTTTATTGGTGAAAATTTTAAAACGTTCTTTTAAAATTTTCACCAAAAAAAAGCAACGAGTGATAGAAAATTCCTACGATAGCAGTTCACGAGTAACGTAAGCAGTTACTCGTGAACCGCCACCACATTCGGCAACATTAACTTCATTTGCTTAGCAGTCGTATTCACTTCTTTCCTGCGATAAGCTATGCCCTACAGTTTAAACAGCAATTGAAAGAATTTTCTATTTTATTAAAAATAAAAATTGTATCCAATCAAAACAAGCGTAAACAAATAAGGTAAAACAATTTTATTTTTTTGCGATTCGCGCTCTCGTGTGGAGACTTTTTAAACGTAAAAATATTTATTGGCATCAGAAAAAAATGTTTGAATTGTAATAAATAGTTTATAAATAATAATAATAAATAATAAGTTTGATTTATTGAATTAATATTAAAGGCATTATTTATTTCAGGACTGAAAAAGTGGTGCTCCACTTTATAAACAACAAAAAAGTGTGCTTCATTTTAAAAACACGTTTGACCCAATTTGTGAGACTAAGAGCCACTTTAACCCACAATCTAAAGATACATTTGCTATAAAAAAAAAATAACAATAAAAATGTTTATGTAACATTTTTTCTTTTACTAGTATTTAAAGTAAAATTCAACTTATCAACGAATAAACATCTCTACATTGTCATTCTGATGATTCATTGGATCGGTATGATGAATGTTTCGTTGGATTGGTATGATGAATGTTTCATTGGATTGATATGATAAATGTTTCATTGGATTGGTATGATGAATGTTTCATTGGATTGATATGATGAATGTTTCCTTGGATTGGTATGATGAATGTTTCATTGAATTGGTATGATGAATGTTTCATTGGATTGATATGATGAATATTTCAATGGATTGGTATGATGAATGTTTCCTTGGATTGGTATGATGAATGTTTCATTGAATTGGTATGATGAATGTTTCATTGGATTGATATGATGAATATTTCAATGGATTGGCTTGATAAATGTTTCAATGGATTGGTTTGATAAATGTTTCATTGAATTAGTATGATGAATGTTTCATTGGATTGGTATGATGAATGATTTATTGGATTGGTATGACAGGGTGTCTGCAAAAATCTCAAGGTGAATTTCCCTGATTTTTCCCTGATCGTCGACCTTATTTTCCTGACTTTTATTTCAGTTATTATAAGCTTTTCCAGACTTAAACATTGGGGGATAATACATGGAAAAATCATAAAGAGTTAAAAATAAAGCATCATTATTACATTTATCAAAGTATCGTTAGTATGTTGTTATTGTTATTAAAGTACATTTAAAATTTAATCAAAGTAACATTTAAAAATATGCTATGTTTTAATCGACTTATTAAACTGTTTTGATAAATAGCATTTAGAACAAAATAAACTGAAATTCACAATGTAAAAGTAAAATATAAAGCTAAAATCAACATATATTTAAAAGATGAAAAAAGACTTACACCAAATGGCAGGGGTGGAAGCATTTTTTGGTCTTTGAGATATCCAACTAGACTTATATTAATCGATAAAATTAAAATTTCATAGTAAAATATTTTAACGTTCAAAAATGATAACCATCTAGAGTTTAAACCCTCCTCAATTGAGGAGATTGCAAATTTTATATGGTCATAATTTTTGAATGCTGAAAAAATATACTATGAAACTTAAAATTTATTGATGAAAATAAGCCTAGTTGAAAATAGTGAAAAAAATATTTAATCAACTTGTTGCTCTCACGTTTGGGCAAAGAAGGGCTAAAATTTTGGGGCTTTTTTGTTCCCAGACTCCAATCATTGCAATTTTTGCAAAGCATCCTTATTTGTGAAAAAATAAAAGTGTAAATAAAAACATATGTACTTTATTGACAACTCCTTAGTGTGATGATCAGATTTGTCAGTGAAAATCTTTTTAGTATTCACTTGTGAAAACAGAGATAGTATGAAGAGCATATACCAAATGAACTAAATTTTAGGATGTTTTTTCTATATGGTAATCACGTAATCCACGAAATGCATTGAATAGATGATTCACTAGTGCTTTATAATTTCCCATACCGCAAAAACTGAACAGAAACTAGATGACACCCAAAGTGATATGAAAATTTGACCAATTTTAAGTAGCTAAATATTAGGTAATTCAGTACATTAATGCAACTCTCTGCTGTTTTAAGGAAAGTATGATACACGACGTAAAGCTTACCAAGAAATGATTTGAATTTATTATTACTTGAAATTTCCCAAATACTATCGCCTGGTAATTTCAGTCCGTGATTAGCACAATGCCAAACTATAATAGTTGGAAACATTTCTATGACTAATTTGAAACCTTTTACATCCTGGCCTGCTGCTGGGGGCTTCAGTACATATATCAACTGACAACATAGCCTAAGGGTTTTGGGATAGGGCAGCAACCATTTCATTCATTAGTGCTGCTACATAGCCTAAAGGTTTTGGGATAGGGCAGCAACTATTTCATTCATTATTCTTCGTTTTCTTCTTCTTTTTCTAAAAAACCTACACCAATTTAGATGAGCAAAAAAAATGAGCAAATGCGCATAAATAAATATGCTATAGTAGATATATATGCTATAGTGTGTATATATATATATATATATATATATATATATATATATATATATATATATATACATATATATATATATATATATATATATATATATATATATATATATATATATATATATATATATATATATATATATATATATATATATATATATATATATTACAGATTACATGAATTACTCACCTGCAGCAATAACAGGGTCTGTCATTAGTTCTAAAGTAATTGGACATAAATATTCATGTGGAATAACACTCTGGTGTTTGTTTTGATTGGACATCAATTGTCTTATCTCTCGGATAATTTTGTTACGATGACCAAGAGGTACTATAATATTTAAATAATAGTTCTGTAAATAACATAATAATTTTATATTGTCTTTGACATCATTTAGAAAATTATTTTTTACGAAAATATAATAAAAATCTATAAAGATTTTTTGTGTCATTGGTTCATAAATCTTTTTGTTTAAATTGTGATGATGTAAGCAAAAAACAAACCAATATTTAATCCGTTTGAAAGACTATAGTCATCAAGCAGCATTAATTCTGCTCCATCTATTGCATTTCTTGTAAACACATCTATATATATATCAAAACCTATTGAACTTAACCATACACATACTTCATGAACAGTCCATTTGTTAACTGATGTTGAACACTAAATTAAAAAACAAAGAATAAGTTGTTTCCACTCTTTGTATTCTTTTACACACCCCTGTATAAACAAAATTAAGTTAATCTTATGCCGACTTTTAAAGTATACATTAGGCTTATGACTTTTTGACTTTTTAAAAAAAATTAATTTTCTTTTTTTAATTTTTGATATTACTAAAGTGGATGGAACATGGTTATCTTCCGAGGATAAGCAATTGTACCATCTCCAAGTGGAAAGCAAAGGAACTGTGGAGTAAAGAAACAATCCATCCAAGACAAAAACTTTCTTATGAGTCAACCAACTCATTATCTTACTATCCTGGTTTTATTGATTCTGACTCTGAGGCTGAAAACAGTGAGTATTAAAACAATGAAGAAGAAGATGAGACAACTCCTACACCAAGCAGAAAACATCATAAAAGCAAAATTGCAGTCAAATTGGTGACCTCCACAATAGTATCAACAAACAAAGCTGCTAACATATGCAAGCAATTGGATCGTGAAAGCATTGACATCCCAACTCCATGTCAATCAGCTATTTACAAGTCAACAATCAAAGAGGCAATCAAGCTGAAGAAGAAATGATTGAAAAGTTGCATATGGAAAGTTGATCCTTACACTTTGATGGCAAGCACATCAACAGAATGGATTATCAAGTGGTCATCCTTAAAAATGAAAAAAGAGAAATCAAATTGGATGTCCTTGGCTTGGTAGATGGCAGAGCTTTAACTATTGCTCAAGGAATTTCTCAGGTCCTCGATGAGTTTCACCAATGAAATTCAATACAGAATATTCTTGCAGATACCACCAGCATTAACACTGGAAAAAAGAATTCTGTTGTTGTAATATTGCAACGAATGTTCACAGAAAAATGCAAACCATAGTTTATCAGTTGTCAACACCATTTATTAGATAGAATCCTCCGTTTGGTGATGGATGAAGTAAAACACAATCGCCAAACATCGAATATCCATTTGTATCTTAACTGTTGAAGGAGTACGAACAACTGAAAACACAGTTTGATAACAGAACAGAAATAATCAGAAATAATCTCGAAACATCAGGCTGAAGAGATAATGTGAAATTTTTGTTTCATCTCACTTAAGTGTTATGATTTTTTATGAGAAAAGGACATTTTCCATTGATCAGGTTTCAGAAAATACCCAATATGTTGAACTTCAGAGCTATATAGGCGATTCTGGCCTTCATTTTAATTCCTTCAACAAGGACAGTTCTGCAGAGAGTGAGTACAAAAAGGCTTTAAGCTCTTTGAAAAATCACTGGAAGCAAGAGCCATTCATACTACAGATACCCAGAAGTAATCAATACGCAGAGCGCGCAATCAAAGTAATGGAAGAATTTTATTCATCTTGCAAAAATAAAAAAAAATTGCACCTTCGATTCCTTCTGCACAACAAGCAAGAGCAAGGTCAATGGTTTGAGTCATTGTTGGATTAAAAATTTATTGTATTATATGACTATGAAATTCTAAATACATTTGAATACATAGTAGTACTTATGTCAAAATCAATTTTTCAATGGTGGGGTGAACTTTATTGAAAAGATATGCAAGTAATAGTTTATTTCACGCTTTTTAGGTAAAAATTCATCAAACAACAGTACAGGAGCATGGGGTTGGTAAAAAGTCATAACCCTAGTATACATACATTTAATACACACACACCCACACATATAATATATATATATATATATATATATATATATATATATATATATATATATATATATATATATTTAAAACATAAAACATAAAAAAAATATTAAAAATAATACCTGTGTCTTTATAACAGAGGAAGCTGAACATTCTGAAAATCATTTCAACAAAAGATAAAACATTAATTAACTTTGAAACTTTTCTATACAAAATATAAAACAAATATTCAACAAATAAAAAAAATTACCTAGCAGCAAAGTATACAGATAATGATTAAGAAAACTATTTAAAAATTTTTAAAGTTAAAACAACAAACAAGAAAATAAATTATTAACAATAAAAATAAAAAATAAAAAAATAATACATTTGTTACCAACTCCATTAAACATAAAACATCACAAAAAATTATACAAAAAGAATAATTATACAGCATAAAATTTATACAACAAAAAAAGCTATAAGAGTATGACTAAAAAATTAAAACTTCAAAAAAATAAAAAAATTATTATTTAAAACTGTGTTTTCAAAACTAAATGGTGCTAGTATATTTTCAAAAATCAAAGTTTGAAACTAAAAATTTTTCACACAAAAAAAGGAATGTTTAAGATCAAGAGATGATCAGGAACTGCTGTTTACTCAACCTATACCGAGTACCAAGACAGATCAAAAGACGATCAAAAGTTGCTTTCTACTTAAATTGTACCTTATTAAGATCGAGAGCTTATTAAAAGCTGCTGTCTCGCCAACAAAATGAAAACTTACTTTGATAATGTTCTATCTCCCATATTCGTAGAGTCTTGTCATTAGAACCAGTAGCTATATGACGACCATCAGGTGAAAAAGCAATGCAGGTTATATACCTAGATAAAAAATTATAAAAAAAATAATTCTCTAAAAAATTATATAACCACAACAAATTCATAAAAAAAGTCCCAGTATTCTAAAGTATTACAAACTACAAATAAAAACCTTGTGTGACCAGTAAGCACTGTTAAAACCTTCCCGAATTCCTAAAACAATATTTATTATATATATACTGCTTTATTATCTCATAAATGTATATACATATATATATATAAATATATATATATATATATATATATATATATACACATATATACATATATATAAATATATATATATATATATATATATATCAGTGTTAAGTTATATACATTTTATATATATATATATATATATATATATATATATATATATATATATATATATATATATATATATATATATATATATATATATATATATATATATATAGTTCCTTTTAAAAAGGATCTCGTTCCGTTCCCCGTTCATTTTGTATAATATAAGATCCTCGTTCCTTACCTGAAAAAAGAATTTTTTCCAAATTCCTCCAAAAAAGGAATTCGTTCCAACTTCGTTCCTTTTTTTAAAATTATTTTAAAATTGTTAATTACGTATTACATTAGCAACAAAATGGGAGTAAATTTATTATATCAGGTTTATTTTTGTTATTATTTATAAATAGTTTTCTAAATATTTTGCTTCCTTGCTGGCCTAGTCGGCCTATGCTCGTAACTTTGTACATATATATACAATTATATTAATTTCAATACAAATATATTCAAGTTATATATTAATTTTTGCTCAAAAGCATAAGCGAAATGCTATGAGAAAACAGTAAAAGATACAAAGAATTAAAATATTTTAAACTTCGACTTTACTTTGTTTTAATAACTAATTTTTCAAATAAAAAATCACCCAATTTATATCTTTTTTCAGTCATCAGATTAGACCCTGTTGAAAATAGTTGCTTGACCGGTGCAGTCGATGGAAGAGGTGTGTTAAGTTCTAAAAAGACTTTTAACACTGCTGGGTATAATAATAAAACAGATAACTCTCTTGAATGTAATTTTAAACGTAATTCTAACTTTTCAATATTTGAAGTTGTAAACTATGTTGCTTTCTACAGGTAAACAGAAAAAGTCTTTTTTAATGTACCTATAGTTGTACGTAAAGAAGATTCCATTTAACAAGCTGCTGAACTAGGCCTATGATCCACATTTTCAAACAAAGATTTCAATGAGGCTTCAGCTGTAAAACATTTGATACCATCAAGCCATAATAATTTAAAACTAGGCAACAAATACGATGCTAATATTAGTCCTTTTTTTTCCATATAGCGCTAAATCAAGTTTGAACTGAAGATTTTACTGTGTTGACCAAAGTCCATATTTTTTTTGTTGCAAAGTAGTTTGTTTATTATCTAAAGCGTAAAGCGTAGGTAATAAATACCCTATTATCATGGATACTTCTCCTTGTAAAAAATCTAAAGATTGGGCAAGAGGAGCCATTACCTCACAGTATTCTTGAATTATTTGAATTTCTTGATTTGTGAATCTTTGTATTTGTAGAAATTTTTGTAGAAATCGATTATATTGCTAATTTTGTTATGACCATTAGAGCTTGAAAAAATATTTTTAATTTGTAATAAGCTATCATAGGTACAGTTCCATCTTGTTTTATTAGGTGTTTTTAAATAAACATCTAGCGTATTGTGAATTTTTTTTGCAACTCTATTTGACATATTTTGTTTACTCCATAACGATGAACACTTACCCATTGCTTTCCTATAAAGTTTCTTAAAATTACTAGGTGGATTCTGTACCATTATCTCAACATCATTTCTTGCTACTAAGTCTAGTGTATGACTGGCACATCTAAATTGTTGTGGTAACTGAACAAGTAAGTCACTCTCTTCTTGTTCATGAATGTTTTTGTCCAAAATGTCATACAAACTCATATTTTCACCATATACATCATCATTATCATCATCACCATCATCATTATCATCATCACCATTATCATTATCATCATCTTCATTACTATCCTCCTTATTCTCTGAATTTTCTGTTTTAACAAATTTAAAAGCTTCTACAAAATTTGAGCCACTGTCTGTTGTTGTAACAACTATCGTGTATTGTATTTTATAAGTTGTAAGAATCTTATACAAAGCAGAAGCCAAAACAATATATGTATGTTTTCCTTTTATTCAACTAAATGCTAAAGATACTGAATTACACTGAAGAGTCTTTTGATCTATCCAATGGCAAGTAACTTCAATATAACTTCTTCTACCTTTGCTCCAACAGTCAGCTGTGGTTGCAACATACATAATATTTTCAAGTGTTAAAGTTTCAACCATTGATGAATATTGATTATTAATACATAGTTTCAGAGTTTTACTGCAAATAACTTTCAGGTTTTTAGGAAGGCCTAACTTTACTAAACTTGCAAATGATGGTTTATCAACTATAAAAAAAGGTAGTGTTTCACTAACAACAAAATTTACAAATTGATCTAAACTTTTTTGATTTAATTTAAAACTCTCATATCCTTTATCAGTTTCATATGTCTCAAGAGTTGATTGCACCGCATCCTTCTTCATATTCTTCAATGAAGCATTTTTGTTACCTTCTTTTATAGCTTTTTCAAAAGCAGCCATTTTAAATGGATGAACTCTCTAAAATAGAAACAAATATTTATTCTTTTTAATAAAAAATTTGACAATTATTTAAATAAAAAAAAATGAAGAATTAAATTTTTTTTAAATTTTATTAACGACAAGCAGTAATTGGCAGCAGTGTCGGCAAATAATTCTAAAAAAAAAATCTTCTATAAGGAATCGATTACGGGCCTCTGACTTCTTAGCTTTTTGGAAAACCACTGTGCTACGCAAGCATATTAGGGCTAAGAAAATTTTAAATTATATATTAAATTATCCTGCCAGCAACTAACCTCAGAATTATTTGCTGGAACTGCCAGCAAATACCTTTTACGTTTATTAATTAAATATAAAGTTCATCAGAAATTTCAGCAAATTCAAAAAATGGAAACTGTAGCAAATTATTGAATGCGCAATAACTGTGCATGTGCTTTTAAGTCACAACAGTAAGCATTTTAGTTACATAACAATTTATTATTACATAATAATAATTTATTAGTACATAATAATTATGTATAAACTAAAATGGAAATATTATAATTCGAAATAAATAAGTTAACATAATTTTAAAATAGGAAGAATAGCTAATATTTATTTACCTTGACATGCCCTTTTAAATTAGATTATGTATTTTTAGCTGTACTTATATATTTTCCTGAAGAGCCACACAAAACATATTTTGCATTTATATTGTTGCCATTTATTTCATTGAATATAAAAAATAACTCTAAACCATTCCAGGGCAAACATTCACCTGAAAAGATAAACATATAGTGCTAAGTATAATTAATATTTAAGTTAAAGACAAGTATTTTGACTTAGACTTAAGCATTATGGCTATAATTAAGTCTGCAAGTCAAGAAATGTTTTATTGTAATAAACTTACTTTGGAAATACTTTAGTCAATGAAATATAAACGAGATAAAAAAGTAACGGTATATTTTTTTAAAACTTACCACTAATTTCAGTGTCATTATTACATGCGCCACCACTAACATTATCAGTTTCAATAACTGGATTCATATTGCTTACTACAGCCGCGTGAAATAAAATTACTTCTGCAAGGTTACCCTTTTTAAAATAACTCCCCAGCAAAGTTTGTCATAATTTGGCCAAATTTCTAAAACTATAGCCAAATACAAGGCGCTATGTTTTTTGAACTGTAAAATCAACTATAACAAAAGGCTATTGGTTTAAATTTTGAGAGACAATTTAAAAAACTTTTTTTGAGGATCATGAACAATATATATATATTCATACATACATATATATATATATATATATATATATATATATATATATATATATATATATATATATATATATATATATATATATATATATATATATATATATATGAGGGAGAGCAATATAGAACAAAGAGAAAGGTGATAGAGTGAAGTGGTGCTAAATGAAAGCACATAAAAGAGTAGTCTGTGGATTCAAACCTAGTTTCCCGACAAATGGGTGAATTCTTACGAATGTAAATGCCCAGGCCAAGCATGTGACTATTGGAGTCTTTACGAATTAAAGGAAGATAACCATCAACACTAGGATCACAAGATGAGACAGCTGAACTCAAATTAGTCTCACAAAGAGCAAGCAGGTCTGGTGAACTTTGCAAGAGATATGACTCAACAGAAGAAAAGTTACTTCGAAGACCACAAATATTGGTGAATGATTTCGCGAACTTGGTGATGATTGTGGTTTTTTGTGTTTTATAGTTTTTGTTACTTTATTCATTTTTAAATTTGTTAAAGAACTTGACTCAAAACATTGATAGTACTCAGTACACTGTTCTATAGCTCAAGCAATTGCCTCATTTCCACTAATAAACCCTAAGCCGTAACAAAGGGCTCCAATGTGGCCTTGGCAATGCACACCAAAAGTACAAACAGGGACACCATCCATGCGCAACATGGCACTGTTAGTACTCTGATATTTTTCAGCTAAGTGCTCCAAAAACTCTTATTCTTATTTTTCAGCTAAGTGCTCCAAAAACTCTTATATATATATACATATATGTATCAACCCTCGGAATTAGGGTCAACATTTTGGCAAGGCAAACCCAACTGCCGACCTAAAAGTGTTTGCGGTTGGCAAGAAATTGCCGACCTTGTTTTGACATTTTATGGTAAGACATTTGTATCAAATTTTTTCTGCCGACCTGATGCCAACCTCTAAAAGATTGAGGTCGGCAGATTATTGCCGACCTCAATTTTATATATATAAATATATATATATATATATATATATATATATATATATATATATATATATATATATATATATATATATATATATATATATATTATATATATATATATATATATATATATATTCAGTTTTACCTAAAAAAAAAAATTATAATATAATTTTATATGATTTTATTTAATCGGTATAAAAAGTTTAAAAAACATTTAGAATTAGACTTTAAAATATTAATTCCACACCAACCATTTCAATATTAATATTTATAAAGCTGTTATATAGTTAGAAAAATATTTGTCTCTTTAATGTACTTGTCTCTTTAATGCACTTGTGTTTGTTATTGTATATAATATCTTTATATATGTTATGCATATAACATCAATAGTACTTTAAAAACATTTTAATTTGTATTTGGGATCGTCCATAAATTACGCAATGTTAAACTTAACTATTAAACAAAACAAATAAGATCAAAAGTTTCGCATAATTTATGGATAATCCTGTTTAGAAATTTGAAAAAGATTTAAAAATAAACAAATGCTCTAAGTTAATGAGATATTGCAACTTTAATTATATTTTGTTTATTTAAAGCTTTTTAAATGTTGACTACTTTTACATCATGCTTATATTTTTTTATATTATAATTATATATGGGGGGGGGGATCTTCTAATGATGCCCTTTCTCTTTTAGACAAGGTGCAAAAACGCATTGTAAACATAGATAGACCTGCTCTTGCAGCCAACCTGTTTTAATCTTTGGTTCAAATCTTTCTTTACTAATAGAACTCAAATAGAATCTATAAGTGGGGTAATCTTAAACCTCAAAGTAGGTGTTTCTCAGGGATCTGCCCATGGCCCATTGGTATTTTTTATTTATATAAATAACATGTCTAAAGCTTATAAATTTTGTAGAATTCAAAACTTTGAAGATGACACAAACCTCTATTTTAATAAGTCTATAAAAAAAATCAACAAATATGTTAACTATGACCTTAAAAATCTATACAACTGGCTAAATGCCAGCAAAATTTCACTTAACTGTAAAAAAACCGATTTAATATGATTTAAATGTTGTCACAAAAAATATTGTGGAAAAAAACTTGGGTGCAAAAAATTTGTAAACTACTTGGGTATAAAGCTAGACGAAAAGCCTAGACTTACCATAACAATATCTCTAATATCTCTACCTTAGCCTGGACTTTACATTATAACGATTTATCTAATAAGTTGAATCCCTTGCCATTCTGTCAAAGCTAAGACATACAACAAAAACTTTAAAATCTACTTATTAATTACTTATCTACTATGCTTTGCTTCACTCTCATTGCCTTCTATCATGGAGAAACATAATTATTGCGAATCACCTATTTATCATGCAGAAAAAAGTAGTCAGGGTTATTGAATTTCTACCAAAAAATCCCATACATTCGCATCTTTTAATGCATTACAAATTTTAAAAGTAAATGATATAACTATAATTGAAAACTGTTTATTTATTCACAGCTACCTTAACAAAAAGCTACCTGGTATATTTAATAAATATACTATACACAGTGCAATTAGCTGTCAAATTAAGTGAAATTTTTGTAATGGTGCGCAAACATATAATACAAAATCATACGACAAACACTCCTTTAACACTCTGCATTAATAGACTGGAATCAACTTCAAAATTAAAAACAATCAATTTGCAAGATTAAAAAATGTCCTCAAAACTAAATTAAAATACTACTTTTTACATGAAAATAAACAGAAACAACAATTGTTTCATTGGTAATAAAAGATTTATCACCGTAGAAGATATACAAGATATTATATAAATATAAATGTTGCTTAATAGCAATCTTCTGTGAGTGTACTTATTTTTTTGTTTTTTGTTTTGTTTTTGTTTTGCTTATGGTCTTGCATATTTAATTAGATCCATATAGCGCTATCTAAGCATGAACCATCTTTATTATTAAGATTTGTATCAAGCCTTTTTTTAAACAATTTTTTTCAAAACCTTCTTTGCCAATAACTTAGAGCAATAAATGCAGGTAAACTGTAATTATTTCAGGTAAAAATATAATCAGATAATAAGTATAGGTAAATTATACTTATTTTCTGAATAAGAATTTACTTCTGTTCGGCAATAAATAAAGTTTAAAATAAAACTGCATATTTTTTTAAGTCACCAAATTCGAATGTTTTACGCCATTAATTAAAACATGCAATTTTAATTGCTCCCTAGCGGTTTGAAGTCCTCAAAACCAAAATAATTTGATTTAAAAACATTGCTAGAGCAATTAACGGTTCTGTTTTTGTTTATGAATAGAATTACATTTTTGAAAACTTAACTGATTTTTTCATTCTTTTTTTTCTTTTATATAATATATATATATATATATATATATATATATATATATATATATATATATATATATATATATATATATTTATATATATATATATATATTAAGATATATATATATTAAGATATATATATCAGGCCTTGCAATAAAGCGTCGGGCAATGTGAATTTTACGTCGTCCAAGAGCGATTTTGCGTGTAGCTAGGGCTATTTGTATCGAGCAAAAATTTTTTTGTTTGAGTATATTTAAAGATATTTTTGAGCGGAATTTTAATGAAGTAATTTACGATTATTTTAACATTTAATAAAGTATTAAAAACCGCACGCAGTTGATATAAAAGTTTGAATTACAAAAAAAATAAATATGCTCATTATTTACAAGTAGAAAAAATTAAGATTAAAAAAAAGTTTAAATCTTTTTAAGATAGCATTTTAATAAAATTAATCAGCAATAGCAAAGTTGTCGATAAAATTGAATAAAAATACTTTCTTTTAGTTTTAGATTTTTAACTTAAATAATTATTTTACGGGGGTTTGTTAGGTTTTAAAATTATTCCATAGATTTAAAAATATTTATTAACTATTAGACGAATTTAAAGTATTTAAGAGTAATTTCGAGGAATCATTTTAAAAATTGGTAAGCGCAAAGAAAAAAAAAAAAAAAAGGATTAATATTAAAACGTATTCTACTTGATTCAATAAAAAAGTACAGTTATTAAAATTTTTTTAAAAAGTGACTCAAAAAAAATTACTTAATTAACAACAATCGCTTTTTTGTTAAAAGTTACTGAAACTCAACGAAGCGTGCTCAAGAACAGCTTTAATAATAATTTTTAAGAATAATTTTTTCGCTGAAATATTTCTTTTATACCTAAAAGATTTTTATTCTAACATTTTATTTTATTTTACCAAAAATAAAATTCCTTGTAAACATTATAAATCTATTCAAAATGTTCGTTAAAGTTTTTTAATAATACGAGTGATTGTGCTTATCAACCGCTTTATGAAAATAAATAAAAATAAATAAATAAATATTATCTAAAATCGCTAGTAAAAATATTAGCTATTGCACAGTTTTTAATCGTACAATATTAAAATTTCCAGTTTATTACTCTCTGATTTTTAAAAAAGAAAAATTAATTATTTGAAAAACTTATGTTTTTTATTTGTTTAGTATAAACAAAACGTGTCAAACGTCGAGAAAATAAACAAATATTTTTACATTTTAAAAAACGAAACATTCCAAAACATTTTTAAATAATAACATTTCTACATTAATGATTTAAAGTAGTTTTGCGGTAATTAAATAAATTGGTGTGGTTAATGTCGATAAATATGAAAAGCAAATAAAAAGAATTTAATGACGTCAAAAATCACGTCGTGCTTATGCGCCACGCAGTTTTTATTCATCACAAGGCCTGATATATATATATATATATATATATATATATATATATATATATATATATATATATATATATATATATATATATATATATATATAACTCTTACATGGTTGTTTTTAATTTTACCATTGCTAGGTCGATTTTAAGTATTTAATAATATATATATATATATTTTAAATACTGGAAAAAGTTTTTTTGTCTTTAAAAAAAAGTGTTTTTTTTATTATTTGATAGACTGCGTGCCCAAACCAAACCTTCAGTCGATGTAGCAGCACTCTATTGCAAATCAGACTATAAGATAGTTAATGTAGCAATATTCCCTTGTAGCAGCAGGCTATAAGATAGTTGATGTTGTAATACTCCGTGCATGTTTTACAGTAAAAAAGTAAAATAAAATAAAAATATTTAGAATGTCTTTAATATATATATACTATTAAATATTTAGAATGTATATATATATATATATATATATATATATATATATATATATATATATATATATATATATATATATATATATATATAAATGAGTAGCCTCCTCGACTGTAGTGGCCCCCTCGAGCCTTGGGGAGATGAATAATTAAAAATATATATATACATATATATATATATATATATATATATATATATATATATATATATATATATATATATATATATATATATATATATATATATATATATATAGTCTTGCATGGTAGTCGAAAAGCTTTTCCATAAACTGTAGTTTTTAAGAGAGCACTAACAAACCAGGCCAGAAATAGTTTAAAAACTTGAATAATTTTTTTTATTATTAAATGATAGACTGCCTGCCTTAACCAAACCCTCAGTTGATGTAGTAGCACTCCCTTGCGAGTCAGGCCATTTGTCAGTCGATGTAGCAGCACTCCGTTGTGAGTCAGGCTGCAAGATAGTCAATGTAGCAACACTCTGTTGCGAGTCAGGCTATAAGATGTAGCAACACAATATAATTGTCAAAGCAATTAATTTAATGCGGAAGTACATTATTATTTTATCATTTTTTTTAAAAACTGCAATAATAATGACTAGAAAGCTTTTTTTAATTAATAATGTTTTTGTTTTTGTTATTTAAAAACATTTGTTTTAAAAATGCGCAGAGGGTTGTTACATCAAATATCTTATAGCCTGCTGCTACAAGGGAGTGTTGCTACACTGACTATCTTATAGCCTGACTCGCAAAGGAGTGCTGATACATCGACTATCTTATAGCCTGACTCGCAAAGGAGTGCTGATACATCAACTATCTTATAGCCTGACTCGCAAAGGAGTGCTGATACATCAACTGAGGTTTTGACTAATATCAACATTTTTCTGTTCATAAGCATCAGTATCATTGATTACTAATGTGCAATAAGTATATTTTATTATTTACAACATTTTTATTATAAGATAACTAGACACTCAAAATGTAGAATTTTTAAGTCAAAAAACTCATTTTTAAAATTTAAGATAATTGAATCACAAAAATTGAATATTAAATATAAATAAGAACTCAATTCACAAATATTACATACTGGATCCCAAAGAATAACAGATTTGTCAACAGAACTAAAAATAAAAGAGTTTGAAATACTAGTTACAAAATAGAAAAGAAAAACCAACCAAGCTAAATTATAACTTTGGAAAAAAATGTATGGAAAAAAGTAAGCGCAAAAAAATTGGCAAATGTTAATGTAAACCCATACTTAAGATTTTTTAGTACTGACTTAATAAAAAAGACTTACCACGAGCCAAGCAAATCGCCATTAATAGAAAATTTGCAGTCAGAAACAGGAGAACTATGACCTTCCAAAACAGAATATGGTTGGATAGAACATTCTTCAGAGTATGCTGTAATTTAAAAAATATAAATAATGTTATGAAAGTGTTACTAGTTTAATACCTATTTTCTTCAAGATTTTTAAAAGATAATTTCTGCAACGAAACTATACTAAATTTATATTTAGTAATAATAAGATAATTTATCATTAGCGTCAGGCCATCTTAATCTTCAACAAAGGAAAAGGAAGAAGTAAAACATTTTGAAAGACAGCAATATTTAAATTTAGAAAATTATTCTGAAAACTTAAATTAACAAATCATTAAATATATGTTAAATACTGTTAATATTTTGCATGGTGTTAAAACTCCATATATTTTGTTTTAAAGTATTTAAAAATTCAAAACTAAAAATCTTTATTTTTTTCTCAAAGATAACAACCCTAACTTTTTTTAGGAATTGATTTGACATTTATTATAAAGCTTAAGAGCGACTTTCTGTAAAAATCAGACAGAGCTCAATAGTGACCCTCTTCAAAATAGCTCATTTTTTAATATGTTGTTGCTATTCATACTAGAAGCTCAATTCCAAAATATTTTAAAAAACATTAATTGGTTAGATATTAGATGTCAAAGTTTGACTAAACTTTCAGAAATATTGACCAAATGGTGTCGAAAGCATTTTTGAACTCGAAAAAAAAAGCAAAGTAAATATTTTGCAACAAGCATTTCACTTGATTATTGTTTATTGGCTAGTTCAGACTGAAAATTAATAAAATTGGTAAAAGAAATTTTTTCTTTGTCTAAATATCATGCTTCAAAATATGCAAAAAATGATTTTTTTGTCATTTTTGATTTTCATTTTTATTTGAAGCCGCAATTATCCCACAGTTTTTTATGTTATTATAAATCTTTATCTAGCTAAGTACCTAAAAGTATAAAAACACCTATGGGGAAACAAATGCTTTGCCACAAAATTGAACTCAAAAACGTAATTTTAATCTTTTTATGCATTGATTGTGACATGATAATGGTTAAAGCCCTGGGTTCATTGTAAAATTCAAGTTAAAAAATCTTGTATTGACCTTTAATCTACCTAATTTATAAAAAATACTTATGGGGTATTGCAATAGTTCAGAAAAAATAATGTATAAATAGTATAGAATTCAGTATGATTCTTTGTTACTCTATCATACTTTTTGAGTATCATTTACCTAGATAAAACTGATTTAGAACTGATTCAGCAATAGAGATAACAGAGGAAACACCTTGATCGCAGCGATATAAAATTGAAAGGTAAACATGCTTTTTTGTCATTTTTTTTGGTTAAAAAATACATCTGTATGCATACTTATGCCCTTCTTCCCATAGTAGTCCTTTTGACCCTCTCTAAACTTCACGGGTAATATCTTTTGTAAATAGTCTTTCAACCAAAATGCTGTTTTGTCATCTAGTTGTTTATATGCATCATTTTTGCCTTTTTCTGATGTGCATCTCTTAAAAGGTGTACAGCTTATTGCATTCATAGTAAACAGAATCATTTAAAATGCTATATGATTGCATTTTAATGTTTTCAGGATCAGAAAGGACAAATCGAGTTGAATGTGTAGCAATTTTATTTTCCAAATACCTGCAATGAAGTTTATATTTAGTTTTTAAATGTCATTTTGACCTTTCAAGTTTCTTAGTTAATTTTTTATGAACATATTTGCAAATTGTTTAAGTGTTGCAAATGCATTCATCCCAGCAGCCGTGGCATTTAAACGAGCCAAGCATTTTCTATGAGATGGTTTAATTCCATTTAGTATCCGCATTAAACTTGAGCTGGACAGAGGCTTGTACACAATTTCTTTGCAACTTTTCCTATATTAAGCATATGGTGTGACTATTTTTTTCTGTTCAAATGGCACTAGCTGCAGTTTCAACATCACCACTGTCATACTTTATTTTGGAAATACCATAAGAAACGTCTTGTAACAGTTCACTTAAAAAGATGAAATCTAAAAAATGTTCGCTTCATTGAATTGAAAATCTACTTCTTTTAAATAAATTCTTTTGGGGTAGTAAAAAACCTTTTTATGAGACTTTCTATTTTCTGGCAAGTCCTATTTTATATTTTTCGCACTTAAATGTGTTGCATAAAAATTGCTTTGTGTATTGGACTGGTCACAAGACAAGCTGTGATATTTTCTCTGATTTCATTTGAAGTATTAAGTTCTTCTTGATTTTGTAAAAACTTATCTGGTATAAAATCAATATCAGTAGCTGTTAATGTAGATTGGTGTTCAGTTATTATTTTTGTATCTTTTTTCTTTTTCTCGGAATAACATTCTTTTTGATGACGATTGCATATAATTGAACCAATTGGAATGTATGAATATAATGGAAAGATATTTGAAATGTCAGATATTTGTGCAGGTCATCCTAATAATGCTTTCTTCTCTGATTGTACTTTGTGATTAGGGTGCATACATTTTTTTTTTGTTTCCATCCTATTCCTAATGTGTAGCGATGATATGCGCATATTTTCCCTGTATTGTTAAAATTTCTGTTTAAACGATTTTCAATTAGAGATTTTTTGTTCCAATCGCCAGCTAGCTCATAGCTCTTTAAGACCCTAAAATATAATACAAAATAGAGTAACAAGAAAACATACTGAATTCAACACTTGTAAATAAATATTGAAATACCAAAAAGCAAAAAAAATTTCCATTACCAATTTAATTAATTTTTGGTCTGAACTAGCCAATAAACAATAATCAAGTGAAACACTTGTTGTAAAGTATTTATTTTACTTTTTTTTCGAGTTCAAAAATGCCTTCAACACTGATTGATCAATATTTTAAAAAGTTAAAAAGTCAAGTCAAACTTTGACATCTAATATCTAGACAACCAATTAATTTTTTTTTTTTTTTAATTTTTGGAACTGAGCTTCTAGTATGAATAGTAACAACATATTTGAAAATTAGTGATTTTGAAAGTGGTTACCCTAAAAATTTATTGTTTTCGGCTGATACTTACAGAAAGTCACTCTTAAAAACTTTCTGCTAATCATAACAAAATATATTTACTTTTCCGCAAATCATTTTATTTTATGCTAATCATTACTAATATAATTACTTGATTTTGTCCCAAAAATGTTAACTATTCCTGTGACAAATCTAATTTTTTTTTAATCATTTTTTAAATTTTAGTTTGTTATTCTAGCTACATTTGTCTGGTTTTAAAAGGAAACACTGCATTATAAATTTTTTTAAGTGTGCACACTTTCTTTTTTTTACTTTTACAATTTATTATTAATTTAATTTTACAGCTACTAATATTAGTAGTTTTAAAGAACAATATTTGTATGCTGTTGGCTTTGTTTTTTAATTTACTGAATTACTTAGTCTGTTTACTGAGTAAGTCTGTTTAAGTTTGTGTTTTTAAATGGTTTGTTTAATTGCAGTGCAGTTTTGTTTAATTGCAGTTTTGTTTAATTGCAGTGCAGTTTTGTTTGCAGTCTTTTTTTAAATATTTTAATTGGTTATACATTTATCCTACCCAAGTAAATTTTCTTTTTTAGAGCAATTAATAAAATGTACTGTGCATTTTAATTTTTATGTGCATTGAAATTTTATTTCTTAAAATTATAAGGAATAAAACTTTTTAGGCCAACAAGTTGATTCCAATATAAGTAAGTTTCAAGTTAATTCCAATAAGTTTCAAGCTGATTCTAACATGAGTAAGTTTCAAGCTGATTCTGACATGAGTAAGTTTCAAGCTGATTCTGATTTGAGTAAAATTATTATTCAGTTTTATTTTTAGTTAGAATTCAATTTATACTGATTGAACAATCTACTAATTGTTATTTATTTGTTATTATTTGTTATTGTTACTATTTTTGTCTGTAAAAAAGGTTTAAGAGATTATTTAAAAATTTAATGAATAACAAAAATTAAAAACTATTTGTCAAAATTTATTCAGAAATTTCTTTTTTGTTTTCTACACAACTTTTTACACAATTTTTTTTATTTTGCGCAATTAAAAAAAAATAAGTTATTAACTTTTGCATAAGTCGAGTTCAGTATGATTCTTAAGTTGAGTATAATAAGTTTTTTTTTGAATGGTCTAATTCAATTCAAATGCAGTATCTTGTACTTGTTTTTTTTTTTGAGCAGCATTTAAATAATTTATTAAGGTGTTGAATGCTTAGTAGCAGCTGCTACTTCTAATGATTTCTTTTATTTATATATAAAAGTTATTTTTTATTTTAACATTATCTTTAGGATTAAATAAATTTTTGAAATTATTCAACTGTCTATCTAAACCAAAATCCTCAACCAATTTATGCACACTCTGATGAATCTAGACCTAAATAAACAGGCTGACACTCACTGTGCCTATCCTTAACTAATTAAATTGATAAATGAATGATTAAATCCACATCAAAAACAAAAAGAAAAACAATAAAATAAAGTTTAACAATAAAATAAAGTTTACAATAAAATAAAGTTTAACAATAAAAAAAAAGGTGAAAACAGCGCAAAACAATTAAAAAAGAAGTGAAAAGAAAAAACCGAGTCTATAAAGTTTTTAAAAAAATATTCATTTTATTTTTGTTATCTTTTAAAAAAAGGTTTAGAGTAAAATTTGTGGACTCAATTATTTCATTGTTTGTTTCATTAATTAAAGCTATTTTAGCACATAAACATTTAGTAATCAAATACAGAGTAGGGTGTATCAAACTAAATATTTTACATTTTCTGATGTCCCCTGAGACTTGTAAATAAACAGAGACAAAATCCGTAGCCAAAAAATTGTAACTGTAAAATTTCAAATGCAACTCAAGCTCTTTTTAAAAAAACAACTCTTTTTTCAGTGCAATAAAATTTTAACACACTTTTGGAAAAAAACTTATGTAAAATATCTTTTATAAAAAAGAGACCTCAATTTAAAAAAAGCCAATAGTTGGTACATTTACCTTTTTTTTTAACTACTTCAATCATTCTAGAAGGTAAAGAATAGCACAACTTTTTATGTACAAGATATCAATTGCATCCTATGCAGACGTGATGGATGATTTCAGGTTA